GGAGATGATGGAGCTCATCGGGTATCTATGTTATCATCACAGAAGGAGCAAAGAGCCACAAGTCTTTTCCATACTTTCCATCTATCCTATAACATGAGACACTTGACCACCAACAGTAGCAATGGGGCAGTGGAACAATTCAAATGATTGCTGTAGAACGCCTCACAAAATGTGACACTGCTCCCTCCTCAGGATGCAAATAATTTAAAGCTCATTAAACTCCAAATAAAGGATTACTTTCATACTCTCAGCATCTCATCTGAGTTGCCAAATGTTTTCACCAATGAATTGAAGACATCACAAATTGAAGACATAAATCTAACCTTAATCTGAGTGGGGGGGAGGAGGGATGAAGAGTAGAACGATTCTATGATTATTGGTGTATTGTTTTCATGATTGGTGGTGGATACTCACATTTCGATTTTTTTGTATTCTAAACTCTCATTTCCAAGGTTGGCAAGTTTACTTATGGTCAGAAGAGAGAAATCAGCCTCTCAGCATCCTACAAGTAAAGTTCTGAGCAAGGAAGGGAGTGAGGGTTGTGTTGCACCAAGTGAAATTATCCTGTTGCAAGTTCCCTGCAGCTTGTTCTGCTGCCAATGTGGTTCCAGCCATGATAGAAATGAGACAGGCCAGCACTAAATCCAGTGATGTGGAAATAAGGGTAGCCTCTGGCTGATCCCAGAATCTCTGCTAATGTTTCAACAAATGAATATCATGAGACATGTGGCAGTGTCTACTCACCACTCTGAATCCAGGTGCATTAGAGAACCCAAACACTCCGCTCACCCAGTGTCCTGGGCAACAATATCCCATGTTAACTGGCCATTCACCTTATATGATTGTGGGACATTGCAGGGGCAACAGTTCCCACGGTTACTAACAAAAAGCAGTCATTACACTTGATACTAATCGCTTGCAAAGCATTTTGAAACTATGCCATGATATAAAAATGCAAATTATTTATTCTTTATAGCATTGAGGCATCTTGGCTTTGAATCTTCCTTTGCAATATGTTTGCCATGCATTACAGTGGCTAAATGGAAGCTATGGGACAACAACAACAACAAATTACATTTGTGTAGCGCAACTCACATCGGGAGGATGTCCCAAAACGCTAAACATTCAGGGATTTGGACCCAAGCAGGGGGTTAGGATCGGGGTGGTGGAGGGCATAGAGGGAAGGGCTACGAGGGGGGGGCAAATGCATGGTCAAAGGGGAGGGTCTTGAGGAGATGTGCCTTGAAGGCAAGGGAGGCAACAAGATGAAGGAACTGTGGGATGGATTCCAAAGGATGGGGTGAGAGAAGCCGAAGGCCTGACCGCCGATGGTGGGTGGACCGGGCTGGGTGATATGGAGCAGCCTGGAGCATGCTGAACGGGCAGGTTGATACAGGGTTAGCATGTCAGAAGTAGGAAGGGGCAAGGCCTGGAAGACGAGGATGAAGATTTTGAATTCTATCCTCTGGGGGATGGGGAACCAGTGGAGCTGGACGAGGGTGGGGGTGATAGGGTCACGGAGCCTGGTGCAGGAGAGGACACGAGCTACAGAGTTCTGGATGATCTGCAACTTGTGGAGGGAAGAGGTGGGAAGGTCAGCGAGCGTCATCAAGCAGGGAGTTGGCGTAGTCGAGCCTAGATATAATAAATGTGTGGATGAGGGTTTCAGCCTGAGGAGAGAGGCAATAGTGGAGTCAGGTAATCTTGCGGAGGTTGGGAAGGCGGAGCGGGTCATTGCACGAATGTGGGGTAGAAAGAACAGATGAGGGTAAAACAAGATGCCAAGGTTCCGGACTGGGCTAAGTGAGGTGGAGTGTGCAGCCTTGGATGATGCCAGTGCCCGAGTGTGGAGGCACTGACGGGAGCCAATCAGGAGGGCCTCGGTCTTGTTGAAGTTCAACTGAAGAAAGTTAGCTCTCATCCAGGACTTGAGGTCTGACAAGACATTCTGTTAGGACAGCAGTGATTCTGGAGTCGAGGGTGGTGGCAGAGAGATCCGTGGGAGTTGGGTGTCATCCGCATACATGTGGAAGTTGACCCCATGCCTGTGGATGATTTCACCAAGAGGGAACATGTAGATATTGAAAATATTTAAATTTGTATACCTCAGACAAATATTTATAACCCCCCTCATCTACATGATGAGATTTGTGAAGCCAGGTATTGGATATTCTACTTGTGGATTGTGACCTTTGACTACTGGTTAGTGAGACACACATTTACTTTACCAAATGTAAGGATTATTATTATTGTACTAGTTTTTTAGCAAACCAAAAATATCTTGTGCAATGTAAGTCCCAGTTCCTTGGGATATGCCTAAATGGACAGATTCAAAGAAACCTCAGTGAAAAATATCACCAAATTTTAAATTTGGAAATATATAAACAAACCATCAATGATAAACAACACTTTGTTTGTAAGGTATGCGCATTGCTAGTGAATGGCAAAATTAACTAAATGCAGGTAAATGCCAGGTTATCACATAAATTAAGTAAAATTAGCAGGCACATATAATAATATAATATATACAACAACTTGCATTTATGCAGACCCTTCAAGTAGGATAAAGTCTCGGAGTGCTTCGCAAGACATGGTTGGACACCAAGCAAAGGAGGAGGGAGAGTGGATACTTTATGGATTGGAACAAACTGACTAAGGGGGAAGCTGAAAGAGATCTAGGGGTGTTAGTTCAATCATTGCTCACCATGTATGTGTGAGGCAACAATAAACAAGGCAAACAGGACACTTGGTAATGTTAGGATCTCCAGACATCATACTCAAACTGTATAGTGCTCTGATCAGGCCACAACTAGAGTACTGCCTGCAGTTCCTGTCACCTTGCTGAAGTTAGATATTTGGATGCACTGCAGAGTACTGGCAGGGAAAGCATTGCCAATGGGATGTGCCAAACAAAGTCCTGAAACACTGGATTCAATTATTTCAGATGAAGCACAGTGGACGAATAAACACTTGGATAAAAACGGAAGGTGTTAAACTCACAAGGAGTATAAGGGAACTATTGTAGTAAAAGGCACAGAAATCCTTTTCAGACTCTATATCCCTTAAACAATGAAATGAATCTGGCTGACTACATCTAATACTTAGGAAAATTATGTCATCGCCTTATATCTTCCCCAAGATTTCATCACTTAAGAGTGCATATCTATGTCCACTTGCAGCTTTTGAT